TTCTTCAAGTGGTAACCACATAAACCATGGTGCGCTTCTAGGTATGCATTTTGGATTGCTTTTTTAATATCAAGACGCTAATCAGAAATGAACATAGTGTTTTCAGGACAACCAACCACATCACACAACTTGATAAGAAACCATGTCCATGATTCTTAGTCCTCAACATGGCCGATGCCAAATGCAACTAGATATACGCACTCGTTCGCGTCTTTGCATATAGTAACAAACAGAACACCCTTGAACCTGCCTTTCAAATGTGTTGCATCAATTGCAACCGTAGGACGCATTACATCCCTAAACCCCCGAAAACAAGCCCCATACAACCAGAAATAATATTTGAATCTTTTTGCTTCATTAGTAGCCATTGCAGTGATTATGCTAGGATTTTCTTTTTTCAACATATAAAAGTACAAGGGTAATAGTTGAAATGACTCCTCCGGGGGATCGAAATTAAGCATTTTCGCATACTCCTTCACTTGCCATGCCTTACCATACAAGCATTCCAATCCTCACTGCACCCTCATCTCACCAATTATGTCCTTAGGTCTCAATGCTACTCTACTAGCCTGAAGCTTGTGTGACATAAGTTCACCAATTATCTTCACACTCGCCATGGGGAATTGCCCTTGCAAACCATCGACAATACACGTGTGTACTTCGTGGAACGTCCGAACTTGCCAATATTCTCCTTCAAGTAACTTCATTGCATGCACACCGAACTTGCATACCTTGTCCTTACAACTAATCTCATAATGACCTTTACATGATCTTTTTACTCTTATCCCAAAATGCTCTTTTAAAGCGAATATGTTTAAAGCTCGTTTCAACTTGGCCTTCAAAGAAAACATTCTTCCTTTGTATAAGCGATCATCAGCACGTCTTGACTCCTTAGTGGTAACTGTTTAGAAGGAGAACCTTTCTGCACTTGGAATTATCCACATACGACATATCCCTGCATTTCCTGTATCTTGATAATTGTCATCCAGCAGTGTATCAGGGGAACAAATCTCGTTCTCATCAGCAATGAGGTTATTTGTATATGGTCATCACACCATACATCTCCTACATATACATCTCCTACATCAACACCTCCAACAGGTTCCGTTTCGCCTTTGACATTATTGCAAATTGGAATGTCAGTATCATAAAGCCAATCATAGTCTGAAATGTCATCAGGCCCATCATCTGAATTTTCATTAAATCTATCTTCACCGACAAGGAACAAATCCTCATTTCCCTCATCAGATGTAGTATTATCCTTGAGTGTCATAGTGTCACCCTCCAACGTTGCAATATTGTTCTCAAGTGTGATATTCTCATTTGAAAATGCCATTACACCCTCTATAGTTTCACCCGATTGTTGCATTGGTTGGATAAAAGCAAGTAATTTGTTTGATACACATCCTGATCAGAATTGTGTAGTCAACTATTCTGTGAATGTCGTCTCTCTACCGGGCTGCACAAACTCTTCTGCATATGTCAATTGTCATTGTTGTGGGTTATGGACCGAATGTTGTCATATGTGTGAAGCATTGTAAATCTCATTTTGATTGAGCTAATTACCATGTTGTTCAGCTTCTTGATGTGACATAACATTTCTTTGGCGTCCCTTAATGCTGACATACACAGTTGAAACATTCCTCTATTCTAGCAAAATTAAAGCAACATCTTCATCTTCCTTGATAATTAGGCATCATAGCTCTCCGGGTGTACTGATCAATGCATGTAACTCAATCTCATCCATTTTTGAGTTTACCCCAACAACTTCTTTAACCAGCTTCTTCAAGCCCTCAAACGACAAATCACTCCTAACCCCCCGCATTTGTGAGTCACCACCCTTGTAAATGCCATCCACCCACTGACCACCATGTCTTATCACAAGTCGCACAATTGGAACCCCATTGCAATTTTGAAAACTTCAAATTTGTCAATCATTTTACACATTACATGCCGTGTTCTATAATTTATCTGTCATGTTGTTGCACACCATTTTTCAACTATGTTACATGCCATGCTCAAAAATGTTACACGCAAGTTCAAAAATTGTTACACACCATGTTCATTACGTGTTACACGCCCTGTGCTAACACCTGTTATTTCAATATATTCACTCACCAATGCTTAACTATTATTTATTTGGAAGCCCCTCTCTATAAAGGCCCTAAGAAGGTAATTTTGTTTGATGATCTGATCATGAAAATAAGGGAGAGAATCACAAGATGGGAAAATAAAATTCTTTCTCATGGAGGACAGATAACTCTATTAAGGAGTGTATTATCTTCACCGCCCATTTATTTACTTCAGGTTTTTAGACCTCTTATATGTATCATTAAAAAGATTGAGAGATTATTTAATAGTTTTTTGTGGGGAGACTCTACAAAAGCATGGAAAATTCATTGGGCTTCATGGCATAAAATCATATTTCCATCCTCTGAAGGTGGATTAGACATTCGGAGTTTAAGTGATGTATTTGAAGCTTTTAGTATGAAGTTGTGGTTGAGATTCCAGACTTGTACTAGTTTATGGACATAGTTTATGAAAGCCAAATACTGCACTGGTAAGATTCCGAGATATATCTAACCAAAACTCAATGATTCTCAGACATCGAAGTGGATGGTAGCTTATTGCCCACATACTGAGCAACACATGAGATGGTGGCTTGGAAGGGGAAATTTATTTTTTTGGCATGACTGTTGGATGGGGGATGAACCATTGGTACGTAAGTTTCCTGCCTTTACATCTAACATGACAAAGGTATGCTATTTTTTCAAAAATGGTGAGTGGGATGTGGAAATGTTGAACAATGTATTGCTAGAGGAACTTGGAGTTGAAATTATGCAGATTCTAATCGATACATCTATTGAGGATATAGCATATTGGGTTCCAACTTCGGATGGGCAATTTTCTACCAAAACTGCTTGGGACTTAATTTGTCAACGATAATTGAGGAATCCAATTTTCAGCTTTATTTGACATAAAAGTATTCCTCCTACCATTTCTTTTTTCTTATGAAGGTTATTAAATAATTGGATTCATTTCGAGATGATATTGAAAATGAAAGGATTCTCCTTAACCACTAAATGCCAATGCTGCAACTTAGAGGAATCACTTATGCATGCCATGTGGGACAATCCGATTGCTAAACAGGTTTGGAATTATTTTGCAAAATTCTTTCAAATCTATATCACAAACCCACAGAATGTTCTTCAGATTATATGGGCATGGATATATTTTGGTGACTATATTAAGCAAGGCCATATCCGAACTTTAATACCTTTATTCCTATTTTGGTTTCTATGGCTAGAAAGAAATGAAACGAAACATAAGAACTTAGGTATGTACTCTAGTATAGAGGTGTGGCGAATTTTGAAACTCATTCACTAGTTATTCCAGGGGAATCAATTACAACAATGGCAATGGCGAGGAGACTTGTAGATCACTCGAGTATGGGGTTTGACTTTTCAAATAGTCCCATTATCTCCACCACAAATACTATATTGGAAAAAACCATTAACAGGTGAGTTTAAGCTGAATGCTGATGGTAGCTCAAAACATAATTCTCAAAATGTAGTAGGTGGAGAAGTTCTGAGGGATCATACAAGTTCATTAATATTTGGATTTTATGAGAATTTTGAAGCAAAAAATTCCATTCGAGCAGAATTACTAGCACCACACAGAGGATTGGTATTGTGTCAGGACTATGGCATTTCACAGTTATGGATTGAAATGGATGCCTCAACAGTGATACAAATGCTTAGAGAGAGATATCGAGGTTCACATGATAGTAGGTATTTACTGGCTAATATTCAAAAAATGCTTACATATTTCTCCTATAGGTTGTCCCATATTTTCCGAGAAGGTAATCAAGCAACGAATTTGTTTGCTAACCTTGCCCATGACTATTAGGATCTTCAAGTATGTAAAGTGCCTTTTGGGAAACTACGAGGCATATTGAGATTAGAAAAAATTGGTTTAGGTTATGTTAGATTTAAATAATTGTAAAGAAGTAGTACTCTTTTTTTTTATATATTTACGTGTAATGTTCTTTTTTCCAAAATTATCGTAGATCCTTGTACACAGGTTAATTATCTATCCTTTTGCAATAATGGCAAGGGAAGTTAATCCTATATTAGGAATTTTATACCTTATTGCTAATGTAATTCTTGAGGTCACGTTTCGATCCCCTTCACTTCATTTTTTTTTATTATTAATAATAAAACTTTAACAAGGTAACTAGGTTCTGCGAAAACTTCCAGCATAAAAAAAAAATTTAACATTAAACAATTAAGGGGATCCAAAAGTAAGAGGAATGGATTTTTATTTTGTTTCTATTTTGGCTATTTCGCTCCATTGATTCTCTAATCCTGTAGATCCTAGCAATCTATTGACATCTTTTATACTTCAAGTGGTAATTTATGCATGAGGTTGTAAGATAAATAAACATTTAAAATAGCTAATTAAAAAATGGAAACTATTAAAAGAACTTTGGATTAGATCATATATAAAAGGTTGGATTCATCAAAAGCAGAGTTAAGAAAGTGGCTAGTGATAATATTTGTTATATTTTAATTTTTTATTATTTTTGTTATTATATATATAACTTTATATATTATAATTATTCTTTAATCACTTGTTAGGTAAAATCTTAAATTTTTGATTGAGTCCATAAACAAAAAAGCATAACTTATGCTTACTATTTTATTTTATTAGCAAAGCTTTTGGAGGGAGAAAATAGTTATCTAATTGGGGTGGAATGTTAGGTGGGTTGCTTCATACGGACTAACGCCGTTACCATGCGGTTATCATCCTGACTAAATTTCTCCGTTGAACAAGACTTGCCAGGGCTGCCGGATCGTATGGGGGAGTGCTCCTCTGACCTTTTGTCCAGTTAAGTTTAGCCACGTGGAATGAAGAAACTCTGTCCAGAGTCAGGGCCCTCACTGGTCGACACGTGTCCTTCACAGAGATACCCCCAGAAGCCTTTCGAAATTCAAAGACTTCTGTTTTTTCTGCCTTTTGTTTAGTTCGCATTCAAAAGCTCTCTCAGTCCCTCCCTTTTAACTCTCTCTCTCTCTGGTTTCTTTCTTTTACTTTTGGTTACTGAAGAGGTTTCTGGGAAGATTCAGCTGCAAAAGGTAAGTGAAATTCTTGGTTAATTTTATATAAAATTAATATATTTTGGCTTTACTCTTTTTCTTTTTTTTTGGTTTTCTGGAGTTAGTATTTTCTTGTTTGGTTCGTTGGAAAATAACCAAATTGAAGAAAAAGAATTTTTTTTTATAATTATGTTTAGTTTTTTTATCTTCTTAATTGGTCAGGCTTTGTGACAACTAATCTTAAGCTAAAATAATAAAACTTGGGTAATTATTGTTCTAAAAACTGTTTAAGTTTGTTTTCAGTTCTTAGTTAATCTTAGGAAGCAAGCAGAGCAGCTCGGGGTTATGGTTTGGATGAAATAGGTCAGAAGTTTACCTCCTTTACATTGCATGCATGGTTTTCTTTCTTAATAATTCGGTATTATTTAGGCATGAAAAAAGAAATAAAATTTTGGGTTTTTATTATTTGTTTAATTTCTATGCTATAAATTAAAATTGTAATTGCTTGGTTGTGATGAGACTCATGCATGTCTATTGCATGGTGTTGTTTGACAAGTTTAGGGTTTGGATTTGTACTTGAAGGATTCTCCTTTACGGTTAGATGACCAATTTTTCTTAAGTGTAATTGAAAGGTTAGGACCTTATTTAAGTAATTTAATTTCCAATTGTATTGTACATAGCATTTGGGTTTTTGGAATGAACAAGTGGCTTTGAAGTGGTTGATTAGCTGCTGCATCTTCCTTTCCATTTTTCAATCTGCACTGAAATTAAATTGAAATCCTGAATTGGTTAATTATATCTTAACTTCTGTCGTGCTCTCTCGATTATCCTCTAAAATGAAAAAGGGGACTGGTGGGGGGCAAAGGGTATGAGGAAGAAAACAAATTTGCTATCCTTTTTCCCAATTGTAGCTATGATAAATTCTTCAGTTGTTGAAATTCAACAGGTTTGGCTCCTCAAATTGAAAACACGAGTTTAAGTTTGCCACTCTAGATATACTTTTATACATTCAAGGACGCGAATAAATGATCCTATTACTTTCTCTTTGGGTTTAGATTATTTTGTTTGGTGACTTCAACTTATGAGCAAAGGGCTTAGCTGTAAGATGGCATGTTGTTGATGTGATGAATGTGTATTTCTGGACATCTTAAGAGTAAGCTTCATTTATCATAAGGTTCTGAAAAATTTCTTGTCTGTGGCTAGGTAGAGCTAATGTTAGGAGATTGTATTGAATATAATTGTCAACAACTAGTGGAATCACATTATTAGAAATAATCTATGTAAAACATTAGAACGATTCAGAGAAACGAAATATCAGGTCAAGCAAGTCATATGTTAAAGAGATACCTGATTCCATGGTCTACAAATAATTGTATTCAGGGGTGGTGAGAGACAGTTTATTATCTTAAGGTTCTGATACATTTCTGTTGCTTTGGCTGTATAGTGTTAGACCTAAAGTAACATGACTGCTTGGATGTAATAGTCACTTATGGAAAAATCACATGATCAGCACTTCAAACATTTGCCTTTTTCTCTTAAGATTACAGTGGAAAGACTCATGATTGTCAATGAATTAGTTCAACAATCTACCTTGAACAGCCAAATGAGAAAAAAGTTTCAACTTCAGATTTTCACATATACTAATAGCATCTGTTTCAGTGTTTTACATAGAAAGACTTTATTATTAGTAACAACCACCTAAACAGCAGAGATGGATTCTTCTTCTGAGCAACCCTATTCAGTTGGTTTTGTATGCCTAATTATTTGCTATAGTGGCAAAGCTAATTTATAAAATAGATAAAGTAAAAAGGTACTGCAAGCTTGTGGGAGGATGAAGTGGAGGAGATGAAGGTGGAGCTCTCCGTTGGTTAAGCGAGATACTGTTCAAGCTCAACTTGACCTAATATGTTTTTAAATTACTACTGTCCATCCAAAGTTTCAATTATTTTGATAGGAATGAGGTTTGAAAGTAAGGAACATTGGAGGGAAAATATTAGTTTATGAATTTGCAGTCAGTCAGTATGTCTATTCTATGATGGAAATCCTTCCATATGTGCTGGTTGCCAAAAATTTTGTTATTTTTGTTGGGTATTCATGGTGAGGAAAGTATCTCCTAATCTCTAATGCTTCTTCTTCTTGTAGAGGAGCTCCTCATTATTTAAACCTGAGTAGAATCCATTTCATCTTTGTATGATGTGTCAGCTTAGTTTGTCTTACCCTTTTAATAATAGAGATTTAGTCTTGTTCTTTTCATTTGATCTTAATGCCCTTTTAATAATAGAGATTTAGTCTTTTTTTGTCATTTGATCTTAATGCCTTTTGATTTACTGTATATTTTGAGATACTTATGGCCTTGGATATTATCAACAAGCAATGCTTCTTGTCAGGAGAGTGGTAAAACCATAAAAGAGATACAGTTTTGCTGTTCTTCACCCACATTTTTTTGCTTATTATACATATATATAATCTTGAAAATTGTGGTCTGAAGCATATATGTTGGCAACAATATGCTTTTAACTGCTTGACGTATACTTTGTTATCTTTATTTTTAACAGTACGGTAATGAGAAGATAGAACAAGGTTAAAAGGAGCTTCTGTTAAATTATCATGGATCAATCAGAACAAACGCAACAGCAGCAGCATCAACAGCATCAACAACAGCCTGTAATGGGAGTTGTACCTGGTGCAGGCCAGATGGGATATTCTACTGGTCCTTACCAAACTGCTTCCATGGTTGCTTCTGGTACTCCAGCAGTAGCAGTCCCTTCACCAACTCAGCCTCCAGCTGCTTTCTCTAGTTCTCCACACCAACTTGCCTACCAACAAGCTCAGCACTTCCACCATCAACAGCAGCAACAACAACAGCAGCAGCTTCAAATGTTCTGGGCCAACCAAATGCAAGAAATTGAGCAAACAACCGAGTTCAAGAATCACAGTCTCCCACTTGCCCGGATCAAAAAGATAATGAAAGCGGATGAAGATGTGCGGATGATATCAGCAGAGGCTCCTGTTATTTTTGCAAAAGCTTGTGAAATGTTCATTTTAGAGCTAACTTTACGCTCTTGGATCCATACAGAAGAGAACAAAAGGAGGACACTACAGAAGAATGATATCGCAGCTGCCATTTCAAGGACTGACGTCTTTGATTTCTTAGTTGATATTATTCCAAGGGATGAGTTGAAAGAGGAGGGACTTGGGGTCACCAAGGCCACTATTCCTTTAGTTGGTTCACCTGCTGATATTCCATATTACTATGTCCCACAGCATCCTGTAGGACCCTCTGGGATGATAATGGGAAAGCCTGTTGATCAAGCTGCATTGTATCCAGGCCAGCAGGCTCGACCACCCATGGCTTTCATGCCATGGCCCCAAGGTCAGCCACAGCATCAGCAATCTCAACAGCAGCAAAGTGATTCTTGATGAGAAGGGAGGAGCGCCAATACATGGTAATTGGTTTGTTGCAGTGACATTTCTGAGTCAGAAATCAAATCTAGCACTGCTTTATCCATAGTTAGGTTGTAATCGTAGGTTAGGCACAAGCTGTAACATTGAAAGTGGATGGTGCCGCTTTCAATCAATGGCAGCTTTAACATGTAATGCATTCGGGTTTGCGGTTTGGTTCATGATTTTTCCTGCTCTTTGTGCTTCTTGCGAGCATTTTTTGCTTGGAAGGATCTTGGCCATTATATTATTAGCTTGCTTGAAAATAGGTTGGAAGAGCTTTAGAAGGCACTTGTAAGTTGGAACTGATAAGAATTGGTACTTTCCTGAAGACAATCAAACGTTATTTTATGCGTTTTCATCCATTTCTTGGTAGGGTTTTCAAGTAAAACTTGGCTACCACTAGCCATCAGGATACGGGCATTGAGAGGAGCATTTACATCTGGTCCTGATGGCATCAGTGCTTAACTATGATATGAATAGTTATGCAAGTAAATTTAAGCATGATATGATTAAGTAAAAATAGGGTAGGATTTTAAATGCTTATACGTATAAATATTGACATAATTAACACACAAATTATTTAAAAACATTAATTTGTATGTTTAAATAGAATCACAAATGAGTTAAACAAGTTATACGAATTAACATGAATAGATTAAACGTGTTACATATGGGTTAAATGAGTTTAATTTACTTAAAAACATGAAACATGATAATTCTGGATGGCCGTACACACTGTGGATGGAGATTCCAGAGAAAGCAAATATACGTCAGACAGACCGAAATGTTTTAATTCTTTACTTCGGATTGACATTATTAGACTTTGTCCTTTTCAAATATTTTGAATTTAAATTGATTTAAATTTTAAGTTTTTTTAGATTTCAGCTGAATTCATATTCAAATTACATTAAATTCAAGTTATTAATATTTTTACAATCAAATCAAACTTAATCTAAATATATTAATCAAATCCAGAGAATTTCAAGTAGTTTGCATTCCATCTGATTAAATTCAAATTGTTAACTTCGACCAAAAAAAGTCAAATATAATCAAAACAATCCATTATGTTCTGTTTCATCAATTTTCTCTTTAATTGCTCCATTTTTATATAAACAATATAAATATTTTTCTTCATTTCATTCTATTTTCTTTTTATATTTAATAACCCTGTTTTCCTCTACCAAAAAGTACCCCAAGTAATAAAATATTATATCAAAGAAGATCCACCTCATCTCTCATTAATCATTAATATGCGGCACTACATATCTGCCTCTGATATCGTGTACCCCTTATATCTGCTTGCCTTTAATAGTCTGTTTGGGTCATACACCATCAAAACATCATCATTGCATATTGTGAACCCCAATGGTTAACTAAATGTACTAAGGTTTCGTTTGGTTCACAAAATAAGTAAGAATGAAATAAGATAATTATTACGTTAAAATAAAATAAAATAGTTATTATTTAGTTTGGTATGATGAATGAAATAAGACAAGAATAATTATTATAACTTATTACAGTGTTTGATTGGTAATAATAATTTTAAAATAAAAAAAATATAAAGTAAAAATGTAAAAATATCTTTTATTATATATATGATTATTTATTTTTATTTTATTTGTTAAATATAAATAATTAATAATTTAATAAAAAATTAATATTTTAATCATATTAATATTAATAAATTTTAAATAATATATAAAATATTAATATTTTAAAATTTATAACTAATTTTTTCTTTTTTCTTTTTCTTTTCTTCTTCTCCCTGGGCCGACCACCGAAAATGTTATCGATGTAATGAAACGCCGATCTGGTGCACCATGTGGTCAGATCTGGCACTAAGGCGCCAGATTAGCGCTTCCCACGACTGGATCTGACCGTGAAATGCCAGATCTAGCCATGGAGATCTGGTCGGGAAGCACCAGATCCGATGCTTCCCGTGGCTAGATTAGGCCGTAGATCCCAGATCCGGTGTGAAACCTCCATTATCGTCCCTGTCGCCGGTGCCATCTCCGGTGATAGTGCAAGTTAGAGAGAATGAGAGAGGAAAAAAACTTGAAAGAGAAAGAAAGAAAAAAGAAAAATAGAAGAAAAAGAAATATTTATAAGTTTAGGGTTGTAATATTTTTAAGTTATAAAAGATATTTTAATCTTTTCACATTTTAAAGCTATTCCCTCAGTCATAAAGTAGCAAAACCCATGGAAGAGCTCGAGTTTAGTTAAACTTGAATTTTACTTCATTTTATAGCATGTTTGGTACAGGGAATCATTAGGCTTAGCTATTCCCTGTCTATTCTCATGTTTTCTCTTTACCTCCATTTGATATGCAATGTCATAAGGAATAACTATTACTTAGTAATAGCTATTCTTTAAAATAAAGTAAAACTCAAACTTAACTAAACCCGAACTCCCCCATGAGTTTTGTTATTCCATGACTGATGGAATAGTCTTAAAATGTGATAAGACTAAAATACTCCTTATAATTTAAAAATATTACAACCCTAGACCTATAAATATTCCTTTTTCTTCTCATTTTCTTTTTTCCTTTCTCTCTTCTCATGGTCTTGCCTCTCTCATTCTCTCTAACTTACACTATCACTGGAGATAGCACCGGCGACGACGACGACAACGATGGATGTTTCACATCAGATCTGGGATCTACGACCTAATCTACACACAGGAAGCATCGGATCTGGTGTTTCTTGACCAAATCCCCACGACTGGATTTGGCCATGGAGTGTGAGATCCAGCTGTAGGAAACGCTGATCTGGCACCTTAGTGTCAGATCCGGCCACATGGTGCGCCAGATCGACGTTTTATTACACAGGTAACATTTCCGGTGACCGACCCATGGAGAAGAAGAAAGGAAAAAAGAAAAAAATAAAAAAAAAATACTTATAAATTTTATAATATTAATATTTATATATAATATAAATATTATTAATATTAATATGAGTAAAATATTAATATTTTAAAATATTATTGTTTTCTTTATTAAATTTTTAATATATGAAAATTTTAATGAGTATAAATAAAAAATTAAAAATTATTAATATTTTAATCATAATAATATTAAATCATAAATACAATATTAATATTTAAAATATTAATAATTAAACTATACTAAAATATTAATATTTAAATTATAAATTATTAATATTTTAATTACATTATAAATTATTAATATTTAATAAATAAAATAAAAATAAATAATCATATATAATAAAAGATAATTTTATCTTTTTACTTTATATTCTTTTCTTATTTCAAAATTATTGTTACCCACCAAGTACTGCAATAAGTCATAATAATTATTCTTATCTTATTCCATTCGTCATATCAAACTACATAATAATTATTCTATTTTATTCCTACCTCATTCTATTGTCACGGGGTCATTACTCTCTCCCATACACGCGCTTATGGGGATGTGCAGCACACTCGCTTGTAAAGAGCCCAAGACCTCCCGTTCCTGTCTGATGTGGATAGAGACACTTTCCTGTGACACTCTCTCCACCCGACTCCGGCAACGTCCTCGTTGCCGTCGACCACCTTGCTACCTTGGGTCCCCCTGGGCTCGAGCGCTTTGACGTGAGTCAGACGAGGTCCGGTCCGCTCTGATACCACTTGTCACGGGTCATTACTCTCTCCCCATAAACGCGCTTATGGAGGTGTGCAGCACACCCGCTTATAAAGAACCCAAGACCTCCCGTTCCTATCTATGTGGGTCCTCGTGACACTTTCAAGCCAAAGCGCCCAAGCCCAGGGAGACTCAGGGTAGGTAGGGTGGCCAATGGCAACGAGGACGTTGCCGAAATAGGGTGGGAGAGAGTGTCACGAGAAAACTACCTCTATCCCACATCAAACAGGAACGGGAGGTCCTGGCTCTTTATAAGCGGTGAGCTGCACACCCCCATAACGCGTTTATGGGAGAGAGAGTAATGACCCGTGACACTATTCTCACGTAATAACTATTCTATTCCATTCCTACCTATTCCGCGAACCAAATAAAACCTTAAAGAAATAGCTATTACTAAGTAATAGCTATTCCTTATGAAATTGTATACCAAACGAAAGTAAAGAGAAAACATGAAAATAGACAAAGAATAGCTTAGCTATTCCCTATACCAAACATGCTATAAGTTGGATTCAAATATTCAATTTCAAAACAAGAAATTTCTAAAAAATCAACAACCAAAAAGCTGAATCCAATTTATATCCACTGCATTGAGCTTAGATTAACAAGATTCATCAACTATGGCTCCCCTAATCACCAAAGCAATAAAAAGGTTACCTCTCAAACTAAATGTCGTAGGAGTCTTCCTATTTACAAACCGTTCCAATCCAGGCAAGATAATTTTTGTACTGAATAACAAAACATAAGCAATCTACCATAACAAAGAAAAACACATTAAAGCAAAATATCAAAGTGATAGACCAGCCAGAAACATATGAAACTTTATAGAACAATGCCATTCATGAATGGTTGCATTTGTCAAGTCATACATATGCAGCATAATTTCTGTCAACATGCTCCTAGAAGCAGGGGAAAGGCACAAGCCTGGAGGGTGATAAACATTGCATGGCAAAGGTAATAACCATTGTGATTACATAGATACAATTTCCATGGAATTTACTCTCAATCACAAACCCAAGCTAGACATCAATCACCCAAACATCTGACTCGTTACTTTTTAATGTTCATCTCTTTCCTTCTATTGTTAACCAAAACTCTCCTAACTTATGAATACCAGCATTAATTAGCCAAAACTCTTCTAATTATGAAGGAGAACAAAAAGTAAAACTAAGCTGATCAAGACAAACATAATTTTAATTTTAGTTGATTATAACCCAGAAAAACAAATCCAATCCAAACAGAAAGGAAAAAGTTAATGGCTTCACACAATCAAACAATTAATCATAAGGAAAATATGTTCACTATTATCGAAAACATAGCAACATCAGATGAACGTAATATACCCCAATTTAAGTACTCAGTCAATTTTGTTTTTAATCCCCATCAACTGAAAATTTTATAAGAAAAAAACAATTCCTAATAATGAAACTCGCCTATCATCAATCAATCATCATCAGGATCGACACCTTCAAAAGCCCATTCGTTCTCCGCCCTAATTGCAGCCTCCTCCTCCGGCGTATAATCGTTCTCTATTCCGAAAAACCTCCTCACATACTCCACGCTCTTATTCTTGATCCTATCAGCCACGGCCTGGTTCAACATATCAAGAAGCGTTTTTATATTCAAATAATTTGCAGCCAGGATCATCTCTTTCAGAGACTCATTATCACGCGCCTTGACGAACTCTTCGTCGTAAGTCCTGACTTGTTCGTCTATCGATGAGGAGGTTTCGCGAGCACGGAAGGCTAGGTGGGACTTACAGTACTCGATTATGGCTGAGAGGCACTTCGAGGTGACGTTGGGGAGAGGGATGGTATCTTCAGAAGCGTCGGGGTTTTCGTCGAAGAAGGTTTTGATTGTGCCGAACTCCATGGCTATCGCTTCCTCAACTTCGAACTCGTGATTGTCGGCGGTTCGCAGGGTAATTTTCTTGGTCTCAACGGCGGCCATCGACATCGTAGTTGGGTTTAGGTATTTGATGGGATTTGGAGAATTGGGAGAAGACGAGCTGTGACTCGAAGTTCAGTATAAGAGAGAGAGGGAGAGAGTGCTGTGGGAGAGGGGTGACGCTTCTTTTATAGGCCAATTAGTGAAAATAAATAAAATAAAATAAAATAATTAGTTTTAGAATTTAATAAGGTTTAGGATTTGTATTTCCAAGTCAGAGTTTAATTATGTTAGCACAAAACTTTCTATTTCTTTTATTAATTATTTTATTTACTCTTTGATGATTTAATTAAAACATTGCATGCTACAATAACTAAAAATATTCTTTCATCTACTTAGGTACTATTTACATGTGGCTACGGGTATTTTCTTTTTATTTTTTTTCAATTACATACTAAACAAACTATTATAATAATCTAAAAACAAATAATGTAAATACTCAATTAATTGATTTCATTATATATTTTATCACAATAAACATTTTTATTTATTTTTTAAAAAAATAGTAATTCTAAATCTTCAAATAGAAATTGGGTGTATAAAAGAATTGTAAATAAAAGGTGTGATACTTTAAACAAAACTGAGCTATTTAGAAAAATTTAAATAAGTACTCTTTTTTATTATGTTAAATTAAATTCTTCTATTTATAATTAATAGTTGATTAATTATTATTAGTTAGCATGTCACTTGTCATTCTATATAATGTGATATTAACGTGACATGTTGACATGTTATAATTGATGATAATGTGGCATATTAATATGACATAATGACATGATCATGTGGTAATTTTTACTCTTTATATTATTATCATGTGGATATAAAGTAACAAGTGGTATTTTTAGTAATAGCAATTAGTCAACAGTTATTATAAAGGTCTATTTGATCTAAAACAAAAATATAATAGCTTGATTGAATGTAATAAAAGACAAACTTATTTGAATTTTTTTAAATAGTTTAAGAACTTTCTCAAACATTATAACTAAATAAAATCAATATTTTACTTGTACATTTATAAATGTCACTTATATAAAATAATCTTTTTTATTTTGTATCCATGAGATAAGGTTATATATGGAAAAGAAGTTAAAATTATTAGTTAGATATTAAGTTAGATTTATACATCATTGGTGAGATAGATCCACCTCTGCTTAAATCACTTTAACACTATACATATACGATTAGCTAAAAAATATTTGAGTTCGATTCATTCATTTAAATCTAATTTAAATTTAAGTAATTGACAGTTAATTTCAAATATTTTTATAAAAAAATACTATTTGTTTTTTTATCTTTATCATAATATTTTTGTCTCATCTCACATGATAATTGCTGATCACATTATAATATCTCATTTATAAATGAAATGATTAAGTATAAATTGATAGACAAAAAAGGTAAGGCAAGCAGCATGAAGTTCTTTTGTTATTTTGTAACTAATATTGAGAATAGGTAGAGTTAATAGTGTGAATACAAGGATATGTTGCAAAAGTTTTGGCTCAATTTTGTTCATCTATGTAATTTTGAAAGGTATGCATATGTTTTGCTCATGTCCTTATGCCTGAAATTTATGACTCAATATTGTTGTATATTGGTATGGAGGTGAACAATTGGTTCCTTATATAAATGAATTCTTTTTGTAATTAGACTTCATCTTTTTGTAATTAAGTAGTGTAATTGGTTTGTAGGTTTTCTGCATAAATTACTTTCTAGTTACTAAACAATAAACTTTGATGTGTAAAAGTATATTTTTGGCATAAATGTAATGCTACAAAAAATTGGTATTGGTACTTAATTTAGCTCTACACGACAAAGCTTATTCAATTTAATCCATGTACTATAAAATTTTTTTCATTTTAATTTATATACTTCACAGTTATATTTACTTTTATCCTTATGACGTGGCACAAAATATATTGAAATTTTTTTTTTCAAAAAAAAATTTGTTTGACAATTCAACACCACTAACTATCAATTTGGACAAAATTAGACAAAGGACTCAATGACACAAAATCTCAAAATAGAGGGATTAAATTGATCAATTTTGGGACAAAGGGATTAAATTAACAAAAAACCTGTAGCACAAGGACTTATGGGATATTTTGACTATTAAAATTTGAGTTATTTCAAATTGTTTGAGTTTAGACAAATCGGGGTTTGAGTAAGTTCAATTTCAAGTTTGGATTATATGATTTTAAATCAATTTAGATACATGTCAATTTGAGTTGGTGTTGAACAAATTTGGATTGTTAACTTTCTCTTATCAAATTGGATTAGATTTAAACAATTTTTCAATTTCGAGTAAGATTTACTATTTCTTGTCATTATATATATGCAATCTCAATCTCTTGTTTAGATAGTTGTTACTATTAAGGCACAAGTGTAAAA